TGGCACCCTAGACGTACGTGACACCCTTACAGTCAGTGTGGCAGCTAGCCGTACGTGACACCCTTTACAGCCAGTGTGGCACCTGGACGTACCTGACACCCTTACAGTCAGTGTGGCACCTAGACGTACGTGACACCCTTACATTCACTGTGGCACCTGGACGTACGTGACACCCTTACAGTCAGTGTGGCACCCTGGACGTACATGACACCCTTACAGCCAGTGTGGCACCCAGACGTACGTGACACCCTTACAGTCGTATGGCACCCTGGACGTACGTGACACCCTTACAGCCATTGTGGCACCTGGACGTACGTGACACCCTTACAGTCAGTGTGGCACCCTAGACGTACGTGACATCCTTACAGCCAGTGTGGCACCTAGACGTATCTAACACCCTTACAACCAGTGTGGCACCTGGACGTACCTGACACCCTTACAGTCAGTGTGGTAACCAGACGTACATGACACCCTTACAGTCAGTGTGGCACCTAGACGTACGTGACACCCTTACAGTCAGTGTGGTAGCTAGACGTACCTGACACCCTTACAGTCAGTGTGGCACCTAGACGTACGTGACACCCTTACAGTCAGTGTGGCACCTAGACGTACGTGACACCCTTACAGTCAGTGTGGCACCCTGGACGTACGTGACATGACCCTTACAGTCAGTGTGGCAGCTAGACGTACGTGACACCCTTACAGTCAGTGTGGCACCTAGACGTACGTGACACCCTTACAGTCAGTGTGGTAGCTAGACGTACGTGACACCCCTTACAGTCAGTGCGGCACCTGGACGTACGTGACACCCCTTACAGCCAGTGTGGCACCTAGGACGTACGTGACACCCCTTACAGTCAGTGTGGCACCCTGGACGTACGTGACACCCTTACAGTCAGTGTGGCACCTAGACGTACGTGACACCCTTACAGTCAGTGTGGCACCCAGACGTACGTGACCCCTTACAGCCAGTGTGGCAGCTAGACGTACGTGACACCCTTACAGTCAGTAATGGCACCCTAGACGTACGTGACACCCCTTACAGTCAGTGTGGCAACCAGACGTATGTGACACCTTTACAGCCAGTGTGGCACCTAGACGTCCATAAAACCCTTACATCCAGTGTGGCAGCTAGATGTACCTGACACCCTTACAGTCAGTGTGGCACCTAGACGTATGTGACACCCTTACAGCCAGTGTGGCACCTAGACGTACCTGACACCCTTACAGTCAGTGTGGCACCTAGACGTACCTGACACCCTTACAGTCAGTGTGGCACCTGGACGTACATGACACCCTTACAGTCAGTGTGGCACCTAGACGTCCATAAAACCCTTACAGCCAGTGTGGCACCTAGACGTACCTGACACCCTTACGGTCAGTGTGGCACCTAGACGTACGTGACACCCCTTACAGTCACTGTGGCACCCTAGACGTACGTGACACCCTTACAGTCACTGTGGCACCTAGACGTACGTGACATCCTTACTGCCAGTGTGTCAGCCAGACGTACATGACACCCTTACAGTAAGTGTGGCAGCTAGACGTACAGGACACCCTTACAGTCAGTGTTGCACCTAGACGTACCTGACACCCTTACAGTCAGTGTGGCACCTGGACGTACATGACACCCCTACAGTCAGTGTGGCACCTAGACGTTCGTGACACCCTTACAGTCACTGTGGCACCTAGACGTACCTGACACCCTTACAGTCATTGTGGCACCTAGACGTACGTGACACCCTTACAGTCAGTGTGGCACCCTAGACGTACATGACATCCTTACAGCCAGTGTGGCAGCTAGACGTATCTAACATCCTTACAGCCAGTGTGGCACCTAGACGTACCTGACACCCACTTACAGTCAATGTGGTAACTAGACGTACATGACACCCTTACAGTCAGTGTGGCACCTGGACGTACATGACACCCTTACAGTCAGTGTGGCACCTAGACGTACATGACACCCTTACAGTCACTGTGGCACCTAGACGTACGTGACATCCTTACAGTCAGTGTGGCACCTAGGGTACATGACACCTTTACAGTCAGTGTGGTAGCTAGACGTACCTGACACCCTTACAGTCAGTGTGGCACCTAGACGTACATGGCACCCTTACAGTCAGTGTGGCACCTAGACGTACATGACACCCTTACAGTCACTGTGGCACCTAGACGTACTTGACATCCTTACAGTCATTGTGGCGGCTAGACGTACCTAACACCCTTACAGCCAGTGTGGCACCTGGACGTACGTGACACCCCTTACAGTCAATGTGGTAGCTAGACGTACGCTGACACCCTTACAGTCAGTGCGGCACCTAGACGTACATGACACCCTTACAGTCAGTGTGACAGCTAGACGTACGTGACACCCTTACCGTCAGTGTGGCACCTAGACGTACATAAAACCCTTACAGCCAGTGTGGCACCTGGACGTACGTGACACCCTTACAGTCAGTGTGGCAGCTAGACGTACGTGACACCCTTACAGTCAATGTGGCAGCTAGACGTAGCTGACACCCTTACAGTCAGTGTGGCACCTGGACGTACGTGACACCCTTACAGTCACTGTGGCACCTAGACGTACGTGACATCCTTACAGCCAGTGTGGCACCTAAACGTACGTGACACCCTTACAGTCAGTGTAGCACCTAGACGTACGTGACACCCTTACAGTCAATGTGGCAGCTAGACGTACGTGACACCCTTACAGTCAGTGTGGCACCCAGACGTATGTGACACCCTTACAGCCAGTGTGGCACCTGGACGTACCTGACACCCTTACAGTCAGTGTGGCACCTAGACGTACCTGACACCCTTACAGTCAGTGTAGCACCTAGACGTACGTGACACCCTTACAGTCAGTGTGGCACCTAGATGTACGTGGCACCCTTACAGCCAGTGTGGCACCTGGACGTACGTGACACCCTTACAGTCAGTGTGGCACCTAGAGGAACATGACACCCTTACACTCAATGTGGCACCCTGGACGTATGTGACACCCTTACAGTCAGTGTGACACGCCTAGACGTAGGTGACACCCTTACAGTCAGTGTGGCAGCTAGACGTGACACTGACACCCCTTACAATCAGTGTAGCACCCTAGACGTACGTGACACCCTTACAGCCATTCTGGCAGCTAGACGTACGTGACACCCTTACAGTCAGTGTGGCACCTGGACGTACGTGACACACTTACAGTCAGTGTAGCGGGGTTGGGGATGTTGGCATTTCAACTGAAGATTATGTTAATGAAGATTCTATGTCCACTTCTTTGAGTTTCTGGGCTACTTACAGAACAGTTGCGTCCCAATACACGAAAAATGGCACATTCATCATATTGCGTTGAGAAACAAAATGGCGGACGTGTAAGATAGTCATCATGTCATCATGGTGTCATCCAACAGATGACATCCTTACCTTGTCAGTGTAGCAGGGGCGTGGAGTGATCCCACAGATGACATCCTTACCTTGTCAGTGTAGCAGGGCGCGGGGTGAGCCCACAGATGACATCCTTACCTTGTCAGTGTAGCAGGGCATATGGTCAGCCCACAGATGACATCCTTACCTTGTCAGTGTGTAGGCATGCCCCTAGAGTCACATCACAGCTGACATCCTTTCCTTGTCAGTGTAGCAGGGCATGGAGTCATCGCACAGATGACATCCTTACCGCACTCTCTTTGTACGTAATGATCACCTTTAAGCTGTAGAGTTCTTCAGATACTATAGCAAGACTATTACATGACGTATTTAAAACTAGTATCCCAACCTTAAATAGTTCTCACTATTCTTATGCAAAACAGATAAATAAGTCTTACATAAGAGTTTATAAATGAATTCTAAACAAATGGTTTCTTTTTAAACACAAATAATTGACTTAGAGCATGTGGTGTTGATTAGAATCAATGTGGAGCAAACATTAGAATATTCTTCCCTTTTAATAGAAAATATGAACTGAAAAATTTCACCTTATTAATATTACTAGTATTTTCAAAACAAAATGGTCCACACACATTAAAAGTAAATATAATGTTCAAGCCCATTTCTTGTGTCGTGCGTTGTAATTGTTAAATATTAATATAAGAAGTGCGGAGTCTGGAGCGTACCTGTAACCAGTTTCTTATATTGGTTTGGTTTGGTTGGGTATGTTTGTTTAACACCGCAAAACAGCAATATTCCAGCTATATGGCGGCGGTCTTTTAATCATCGAGTCTGGACCAGAGAACCCAGTAATCAACAACATGAACATCGATCTACACAACGGGATACGATGACATGTGTCAACCAAGTCAGTGAGCCTGACCAACCGATCATGTTGGTCGCCTCTTACGCCAATATTGGTTGCTGAAGTCCAGTTCTATTCCGGATCTTCACGTGTCCTGTTTCTAATAACTCACCTTAGTAATCCAGACGTTGTGAAAGAATGGATGCGACACATTGTGACTGTAGACAACTGTTTCAACTAGCTCTACTGTAGGAGGACTGTTTTTACTGGCTCTACTGTAGGAGGACTGTTTTTACTGGCGCTATTGTAGGAGGACTGTTTTAACTGGAGATCTGTTTTAACTGGCTCTACTGTAGGAGAACTGTTTTAACTGGCTCTACTGTAGGAGAACTGTTTTAACTGGCTCTACTGTAGGAGAACTTTTTTATCTGTCTCTACTGTAGGAGAACTGTTTCAACTGGCTCTACTGTAGAACTGTTTCAACTGGCTCTGCTATATAACTGTCTGAACTACAGAGAAATGTACCGGAGGCAAATGCCTTGTAGACAATAACAGACAGATTCAAACACAGTATCACTTGACATAATGGCTCTGAATTTCACAATTTAATTACTTTCTTTTCTGATTTTCAAAAATCTGACCACAAAACCACTGTAGACGTTATACTAACTATCAGCAAGAAGAAGAAGCTGTGTTTTAACCAACCCAGTATCGAGGACATGTACCATACGGAGTTACGTATATTGCGATCAGTTGTCAGAAATAATTTTATTAAAAAAACTATGATATGGCTCATTTATTGATCTTCTGTTTTTGCAGTTCATCTGTGTTTGACGAACCGTCTGGCAAGACTGATGTTGCTCTGGTTGTGGAAGGAAGACGTCTTCACGTCAGCAAAATGGTGCTTGCAGCAGCGTCGGATGTTTTTGACAAGATGTTCAATGGGAATTTTAAAGAACAACAGAAACCAGAAGTCCCTCTCCCAGGAAAAAGGTATGCTGACATTGTGGACATGCTTCTGTGTATTTACCCATCAGAACTACGGCCTGTCACCAAGGCAACAGTGGACAAGATGCTGGAACTAGCTGACGAGTACCAGATTGAGAGTCTAAAGCGGAAGTGTGAAGATTTTATGCTCTCGATCTGTGGAAATGACAAAACGCCGAAAGGAGATGTTACACATGCTTTATATCTGGCTGATAAGTACAGCCTGCCTAACCTCCTGGAAGTAACTATACACATTGTGAAAAAATATCGGTTTAGAGATTCAAGGGATATAGACTATGACTTGGATGGATATAGAACCGTGGGCTGGAGCAGGAACAAGACTTCGTGAACCTTGGGAATGAAACAAAGCTGAAACTTATGGCAGAAATGATTGTCTATTTAGACAAAAAATCAGCGTCGCTAATGTTTTTACCATTTTTGAGTAGATCTGTATATCGATGTATCAGTATATAATGTTTAACATCGACTCAAAACTGAAAAGATACTCTCTATTACGATGTGGATGCTTCATGTTCGTTCAGAGCTTGATACTCACACACATAATTGGTTTTAATGCAAACAGTTCACAGCAAGTCAACGTCCCTCGCTGATGGTATGCTTCAGTCAGAAATGACGGTCCACCTCACCGTCCGACTCTCCGTCCACCTCACCGTCCACCTCACCGTCTGTCTCCGTCCTCACCGTCCACCTCACGTCCACCACCTCTATGTCTCGTCCACCTCACCGTCCACCTCTCCGTCCACCTCTCCGTCCACCTCACCTCCGTCCACCTCCGTCCACCTCACCGTCCACCTCACCGATTGACCGGTCCACCTCACCTCCACCGCTCCGTCCACCTCACCGTCCACCTCAGCGTCTGTCCACCTCTCCGTCCACCTCACCGTCCACCTCACCGTCTGTCTATGTCTACGTCCACCTCACTGTCCACGTCCTCCAGAAAGCAAGTTGCTACTCATTGTATTGTCATTCGAAGCACACTGTCATCTCTTCAGAAACACTATCTACAGAAAGCAAGAACTCATGACTTGCCGTCCACCTGATATGAAGAATCAAAGTCGGTTGTTACATCTAGGGAACCGATAAAAACTGTCACTTTGTAGCTAAGGCTATATTTCTTAGTTCAAACCCATAAGTATGCAAACGTTTGAAGGAGCACAACATCCGGCATGGCTAAATGCCCAACTGTTCCACATCACCATCCATGTCACCGCCCACGCTCACGTCACGGTTCACGTCGCCGCCCACCTCACCGTCACGTCGCTGCCCACCTCACCGTCACCGTCCACGTCGTCGTCCACATCCAGTTCCACCATCACTCTCCACGTTGCTGTCAACTGCACCGTCCACATCACCCTTCATGACACCGTCCACGCCACCGTCTTATTGTGTTTCCACGTCAACGTCCACGTCGCTTTCCACTTCAGTATCCACCTCACCGTCCATCATGCTGTAGCTTGGTGTAGACAGCATCTGACATTCTCAAGACAAAACTTGGACGGTAACCGTTTACAGTCCAGGTGTCATCTCGTCCTTATAAAACAGTCCCTGTTGTAATTTTATTGCCATCAAGAAATATTATGTATGCAACGACGACTGAGCCGAAACTGCATACAAAATCGTGCTTTGTGTGCATTGACAATGTACACCATTCTGTTGTAATCCTGAATGATCAGATGAAATTAATTTCATTCCCCGCCTAACCAAATCTTTCCTACCGTTATCTGAACAATCTCACCTCGAGGTTCTCTCAATTTATTGATATAGCTTACCGTATTTACCCAGATTATCATGAAATTCAAGCTGCTTTTGAAGTTTTAAAATGTTTACCATATTTACCTATATAAATGCCACATTCCTAATCAGTCTGCGCGACTTGCCGTCCAACCCCACAAACGGATAACAATTAAGACAGATAAACATCCTCACCGTACTCGCACAAGTAAGCACTACAAGCTTGTCACATAATACATCATCATGTACGCTTTGCTTTGTATCTGTAGCAGTATCTTGTTGTTTTACCGAATCTTTACGGTAGTTCAGGACAATTCTTAGACAGTGTAAATATTACCCACCCTGAATAATGCTGGGGAACCGTGTAGGAAAGCAAAGTGTAACAAACAGTGACTGTTTATTTTTACGCCATGCCGATTTTAGCAATATCACAGCAGGGGACACTAGAAATGGGCTTCACACATTTTACCCATGTCGAGGGAATCGAACCGGGATTCTCGCAATCAAATCATCGCATCCTCTTTTTCATTGTTCACATACAACAATCACATTTTATTGATATAGCCTACCGTATTTACCCAGATTATCATGAAATTGCAAGCCGCCTTTAGCAATATTCCAGCAATAGTAATGCAACACTGCAATATTTTATAATGGCCAGAAACAAGTTTCAAGTATACTCTGTGACAATCCAGTTGTCACGCTGTACTTGGCGATATGGCTGAAATGTGACATTACATTTTAACTCACTCACTCAATTATTCCTTGCGTTTTCTATTTATTGCCTTGATTCAAATGTTATTCCACCTACTGTTAATATCTGTACGTGTTAATCCAGTACATCTTGAAGTACACACTCTTAGTACCATCTTAACATAGAGTATCCAATTTTCCATCTTTATACTGTACTTGGTTTAGTTGAATTGATAATATATTCTATATTTTGTTGTTGTTGTTGTAGTTAATGATGATGATGTTGTTGTTGTTGTTGTTTCCGTCATGATAGTCTGTTAATAAAACATTTTTAGACGAACTGTATACACATGATTTCAAGCCAACTGTCAAATGTTATACCAAAGTGTTCATATTAACGAGGTCTGACTGTACTCGATTGGTTGTTTTTGGTTTTTAACGGCCTCAACAATATTCAAGCTATATGACGGTGGTCTGTATATAATCGAGTCTGGACCAGACAATCCAGTGATCAATCCATGCCCATTGATCTACGCAGTTTGGATACGACCACATGTGTCAATTAAGTCAGAGAGTCTGACCACCCGATCCCGTTAGTCGACTGAGAATGAGTGGGCGAACTATTAACAATATATTTGATGTGGGTGAGTGAGTTACATTTTACAATCACATCGGCAATATTTCAGCCATATCGTGACTAAAATAAGTTTCAAATTGACCAATAATACATGTAAATTATAACAAAACTGTCAACGAAGAACAGTAAAACCAAATAGAATATCACAGTATTGATAATAAAACTAAATCTGGACTTCAAATAAGGACAAGACAGTATAAAAATGGGCTATAGATCGTCAATTACCAAAGGTAGATCACCATACCAGGGTATTGGATGTAAGATACAGTCATGACAATAACATAACCCAGTAGAGAAATGAATACTATTCCTTGAAAATATAATACACAAAACAATGTAGGGATTGGGATAGAGAACTTTGACAATGGGCCATTTTTAGGATTATTAGCTATTTTCTGATTTTAGAATGGGCCACTGCCCTTGTATCAATAGTAAACATCAAACTTTTAATGGTCCATTTTTTATTCTAATGTGCAAAATGGCCCAAGACCTCTGCCTTCCCCAATCCCAGCAATGTCAGGGTCCTGTTCCCCCAACACGAACCACTCTTGTATTCTTGAGATGACTGGATATCTTTGTATGTGCACACTGTGTTCATACATAGAATCGTCATTACCGATATGTTGGTCACGTGTTCTCCTGCCGAACATGATATGTGTGATCGCGTTGCACCTGACACCGATGTCAATAACTTTGACCAATATACAACAAGCGTCATTTGATCATTATCTTTCAGTTTTCCCTGTGTTTAGCTACTCCAAACAAAACGTCTCTCTATAAAAGCGAGTGAGTATGATTAAACGCCGCCTTCAGCAATATTGCAGCAACATCACGGCGGGGGACACCAGACATGGGCTTCACACATTGTACCCATGTGGGGAATCGAACCCGGGCCTTGGGCGTGATGAGACAACACTTTAACCACTAGGCTACCCAACCGTCTACATATAAAGCATAAGTCTAGATGAATAAAACAAGCGTAACTCCTTCATAAGAAATAAATGCTAGTATTCAGTAGACTACGTGATATCAAATTTAACATAATGCATGAACCAATCTATTCAACAGCCAATGACTGGGAAGCTCTATTATCACATCGTAGGCACATGAACTTCACAAATAAATGTGAGCACAAATAGAAGCAAATATTCAAGAAACTTATTTACAATTGCATCACAGGCACACATCATGCATCTTGCTTATCTGTATTTATCATGTGAGTGGGTTCACGGCGCTATCCAAAAGCAACTCCATGTCCTTGCTGGACAATGAAAGAAGAACACGTGGCGCAAGAGTAATGGTAAGTTTTCCCTCGCATTTTCATTATTTTGCAAGTAGATCAGGTTTTGCCATTTGGCAGACGGGTCTAGAAATTTACAGATCTTTCTGTAATAGCTTGACACCTCTCTATTTATTGCAGCTGAGCGTTAAGCGAGGGCACCCGTCTGTGTGTCGAAGCAGGGAGACTATATAAAATGTTGTAGATGATCCCTGGTCGAAGCAAGATCGTGGAAAATGATCGTTTCAACTCGAAATCTGCAGACACGCCGTTTTTCGCTGTCAATGCTTAGATAGAGTTATTTTAGGTCTTCCTTCACAGTTTAGGCTTTCATGCGTCAGTAACGCTTTAATTCTACCATGACATTTAAGTATGTTCGTTTCTGATTGGCTGTTACTAAAAATGTAGAAGTGAAACATTTTCAATATCCACTTCTAGAGCCAGTTCACCGAATATTTTGCACGCGTTAACCCTTACAAAAGTAAATAAACATGTCAAACTGTTACGTTTGACCTCGGCGATTTCTTTGATGTGTTTGGATCGGACATGGAGGAAAACATTGACCCAGCCTGGTTCCAACATGAAAAGACTGAACAATCACCCAAAGTCACTCTAAGTACCGAAGGTATGAGTATGTAAACGTCATTATGTCCAGTTTCTTAGCGTCGTAGTCTAGGCCTGTCATAACACTACGCAAGGGTAATGAGTGCATATTTAAAACGCCTGACTTCTTTGAGTGGCATTTTAAAAGTTGGAAGTCAGATAGAACAAGTAAACCCACTATCAAAAGCTATACTCGGGACCTCATGCAAAAACGATGGGACACTCAAGTAGGAATAAATAAACTGTATAAATGGAAACCAACAATTGGTTAAACCTACTTGGGTTGTCAGTCAAGACGTGATGAGGTAATTTTACGACGATGTCGTATTGGCCACAGTCGGTTTACTCATGACTATCTGCTGAAAACGGATGGGGATGGACCCCCCATGTGTGTCTTTTGCGATGAGGTTTTCACCATTAGGCATATTCTGCTTGAATGCGTGGACTCATCGCCTGCAAGGGACTCACATTATGATGCAAGAAACCTGAAGGATCTGTTCTCTCGCGTGAGCGCTCATCTGATAGTGAACTACCTGAGGGAAGTTGATCTGTATCATAAATTGTAACTGTGAAATGTAACAACCATAAATTGTAACTATGTAATGTGACTATCATAAATCGTAACTGTGAAATGTCACTAACAAATTGCCTGCCTTTAAATTTGATGCTATGACTTTCTTTGCTTTTAAATGACAATGTAATCAATATATGTCCTTGAAATAAAACTCATTCCGAGTATGAATGAATGAATGAATGAATGAATGAATGAATGAATGAATGAATGTTCTTTATTTCCACCAATGGTTTGATGAGTTATACATCCAGTTATGTATATATTTTTAGAGCATAACACACATTTGTGACAAAATAGAAAGTTCAATAATATTTGAAAAATTCAACAGAACATAAAAAATCATAGCTCTTGGCAACAGATGATCACTGGGCAATATGTACAAAGCATTGCATGGTATTCTTATAAATACAGAATGCTGGCCAGGTTCCATGCACTGATGCGTTTTGCAATAATGCTCATGAACCTAGCCCAGCTATCGTGAGTCATGTCCTGCACAACCGGAGTAATGGAACCAAGGTATGTGAGGATTTTAACCTCGTCTTCAGCATCTTCGAGTCTCATATACGTGTCAAGAGACACGTTATCAAACAGATGCTCGCTCAGTGCGTTCCTGTTTTCTACCAGCTTGTCACAGTATAGGAGTTGATGTTTTACAATGTCCTCACTTTCAGTCTCGCATATAAGACACAGTCCAAGTGTGACGGGCAGTATACCCAACTTTATCAGAGCATAGACAGGAGGGGTGGCCATGTTATACCAGAAACACAGGTTCCATAGACGATGATGAGAGAGGCGCGTATGAATGGCACCAAATCTCTGCATATTTGGACGCTCTTGGAGTTTATTTCTCCATTCAGTGTGTTCGTGGTGGCATATAACCTTCTGTACCATGGAATTCAATACATTTTTGCATGGAAATTCTCCTGTTGTCATGAAGGTGTCAATGATATCTGAAAATCCATATTTGTGAGCTGCATTCAAGAGGTCATGGGCAATCGATCTTGTACTACCTGAGGGAAGTTGATCTGTATCATAAATTGTAACTGTGAAATGTAACAACCATAAATTGTAACTATGTAATGTGACTATCATAAATCGTAACTGTGAAATGTCACTAACAAATTGCCTGCCTTTAAATTTGATGCTATGACTTTCTTTGCTTTTAAATGACAGTGTAATCAAATATGTCCTTGAAATAAAACCCATTCCGAGTATGTACTTACAATGTTTACTAATGCAAACTTGTTCTCGTCACTATATGGCTGGAATAATGCCGATGTGACGCAAAACCCAACTCAACTCAAATCATGGTGCATATGTCATGGTAGAATGGAGATAATCCCAATTATCGGCATTATGTCAACGCGACCGAGTCTGCACACTACTGAGTTGTGCTTTTATAACCTGCCACGCAAACGCCTCCAACCTTTTAATTAGGCTGAATTTGTCTCTCAGGTGAAATTTCTCTGTACATTATACACTGGGATACAATGGCATGTGTCAACCACAGGCCCCCACTGCGGGTCAGAAAATCGATAAACTAGGCCCCGGTTTGGTATCAACACCCCCTACTATATAATACATAATATATAATACATAATATATAATACATAATATAGTAGGGGGTGTTGATACTAAACCGGGGCCTAGTTTATCGATTTTCTGACCCTGTGGTGTCAACTAAATGAGAGAGTCTAACCACCCGATCCCACTATTCGCCTCTTACGACAAGCATGGGTTACTGAAGACCAGTTGCCTCTCCTGCTCAGTTAAATCAGGTCAAGTTTCTCTCTCGCCGTGACAAATCAGTATCCTCGAAAGTGTCAGGTATGAATAAAAATTATGAGGACAAGGCCGGGTATTAGGCAATCGAGTTACCTCCCCTTATTCTGTTTCTCGGAAGTGTGTTGTCAAACTGTCCAATCGAAAGGGAAACAACGATTGTACTCATCACCGAGTTACCAAGTTCCCTGTCGTCTTGTCTCCAATATTACAATGGCTGAACCTGACCCAGTTCAGCGGGAAATAAGGTAAGAATCGCCATTCGGGAACCTGCAATCAGTAACCTCGCGTTATCAATATTCGTGATAGCTAAATTCCGAACACACAGTATGGCGACTACTCGGTATAGTTTACGCCAATAGCTGATAACGATGTGACATTGAAGTTCATGTCTCACAATGCTAATAAGAAAGTTTTTGTGAAGAAATGTTCAGGATTTGTCTACTTTAGTTTATTTTAATAAACAAAACGTTTTTTAAACAAGTAAAAGTTCCTGTAATCTTGAATGAAAGTTAAAAAAACAACATTCTTCATCACTTTGGAGACATTTACTGAACAAACACAAGTAGTTTCGTAATTCATTAATTATAACTATTTGATTTCATCTTACAAAGTCGTCATAATTGCTTTTACTTGGTAACTTTTCATGAAAATGTATTGTAAAGTTATAAGGATTGTGTCTGAAATGGGCTTCCATAGTTATTTTTCCCGGTAACCGGACAAAAATCCCCCCGGACAGAATCCCCTGGACAAAATCCCCAAAAAAAGTGTATCGTAGGACAAATCCCTCCTGGACAAAATCCCCCAAGGAAAAACAATAAAGCAAGTTTATGATTTGCCTTTTAATTATTTGTCAACATATCAACAAGGTCAAAGGGCACATAGCACATATTTTGAGCACATTCACATCATTCATTGCACATTTATTTTTATTTGACATACATGTATTTAGGATTAAAAGATTAAAGGATAGAGTTAATTATACCAATCAGTACCTGTTCATCCAATTAAGATCAAAGGTGATTAAGTGTTGATCAATGATCAGGAGAATCAAGCTAAAGATGAGTAGGGGGGATTTAGTCCGGTTTTTTTGCCTGTTCTATGCCACTTTACATAGCTAAAACAATCTTCTGCAACTCTTCTGCAATTGTTCATGAAGCTGTTCTATCAAAACATGATAACAAGGATTAAAGAACCTTTAATCTAAAGCTAAAGAGTAGGGGGGATTTTGTCCGTTTTAATGGGATTATTTCCCGGGCCACACCCCACCTACTGGGATCATGACCTTTTAGCGTTACCACTTACCAATGCAGACGACCGGTAGATGGGTGCTGTCATGAACGAAAACTATTTTTTAGGGCTCATTTTCGTCTCGATGTTTTTGCATTAGTGCAGAAGCATAAAAATGTTTGCTAGAAAACTCTGAATAAAAACTTTCATTTGAAGCTTGTGATTTCCAACTTATGACAGCAGGAATACGAAGACGACTTCATGTTTACAAACTCAAACTTTGACATCATGACTTTATGTGTAGGGACCGTGTGAACCCGGAACTGATAAGTGCGAGAAAATAGATGTCTGCGAATTTACATTACGCCAGGAATTTGTTATGGTTACCGCGAGTGTGTCTTGAAATGCCTCTGATTAATCAGTACTACTGACAGAAATGTCTGGGAAAAGTGAAAATGGCTGCACCTAAATCTGTCGAGGATGAATTGAGGCAAGGATCAGCATATTTCAAACTGTAAATTGTTCTTTTTGAGTGGCATTGTTTAGAAGTTGGAAAATAATATACAGACAAACTTTATGGATAAACAACTTTATTCGGTAGATGCGAGACAACGATACAAGAATATGTATCGAAACGTCGCATCTACCGAAATAAAGAAGTTTGTCTGAATATGTAAATTGTTCTTCTGGAACATGGAATCAATAATTCTTGTGGTAATAGTGAGTGTGTGCATGGCGCACAAAGTACGTGACATCCCACAGATGACATCCTTACCTTGTCAGTGTAGCAGGGCGTGGAGTCATCCAACAGATGACATCCTTACCTTGTCAGTGTAGCAGGGCATGGAGTCATCCAACAGATGATATCCTTACCTTGTCAGTGTAGCAGGGCATGGAGTCATCCAACAGATGATATCCTTACCTTGTCAGTGTAGCAGGGTGTGGAGTCATCCCACAGATGACATCCTTACCTTGTCAGTGTAGCAGGGCATGGAGTCATCCCACAGATGATGACATCCTTACCTTGTCAGTGTAGCAGGGTGTGGAGTCATCCCACAGATGACATCCTTACCTTGTCAGTGTAGCAGGGCGTGGAGTCATCCCACAGATGACATCCTTACCTTGTCAGTGTAGCAGGGTGTGGAGTCATCCCACAGATGACATCCTTACCTTGTCAGTGTAGCAGGGCATGGAGTCATCCCACAGATGACATCCTTACCTTGTCAGTGTAGCAGGGCATGGAGTCATCCCACAGATGACATCCTTACCTTGTCAGTGTAGCAGGGCATGGAGTCATCCCACAGATGACATCCTTACCTTGTCAGTGTAGCAGGGCATGGAGTCATCCCACAGATGACATCCTTACCTTGTCAGTGTAGCAGGGCGTGGAGTCATCCCACAGATGACATCCTTACCTTGTCAGTGTAGCAGGGCGTGGAGTCATCCCACAGATGACATCCTTACCTTGTCAGTGTAGCAGGGTGTGGAGTCATCCCACAGATGACATCCTTACCTTGTCAGTGTAGCAGGGCGTGGAGTCATCCCACAGATGACATCCTTACCTTGTCAGTGTAGCAGGGCGTGGAGTCATCCCACAGATGACATCCTTACCTTGTCAGTGTAGCAGGGTGTGGAGTCATCCCACAGATGACATCCTTACCTTGTCAGTGTAGCAGGGCGTGGAGTCATCCCACAGATGACATCCTTACCTTGTCAGTGTAGCAGGGGCGTGGAGTCATCCCACAGATGACATCCTTACCTTGTCAGTGTAGCAGGGCGTGGAGTCATCCCACAGATGACATCCTTACCTTGTCAGTGTAGCAGGGTGTGGAGTCATCCCACAGATGACATCCTTACCTTGTCAGTGTAGCAGGGCGTGGAGTCATCCCACAGATGACATCCTTACCTTGTCAGTGTAGCAGGGCGTGGAGTCATCCCACAGATGACATCCTTACCTTGTCAGTGTAGCAGGGTGTGGAGTCATCCCACAGATGACATCCTTACCTTGTCAGTGTAGCAGGGTGTGGAGTCATCCCACAGATGACATCCTTACCTTGTCAGTGTAGCAGGGCGTGGAGTCATCCCACAGATGACATCCTTACCTTGTCAGTGTAGCAGGGCGTGGAGTCATCCCACAGATGACATCCTTACCTTGTCAGTGTAGCAGGGCGTGGAGTCATCCCACAGATGACATCCTTACCTTGTCAGTGTAGCAGGGCATGGAGTCATCCCACAGATGACATCCTTACCTTGTCAGTGTAGCAGGGCATGGAGTCATCCCACAGATGACATCCTTACCTTGTCAGTGTAGCAGGGTGTGGAGTCATCCCACAGATGACATCCTTACCTTGTCAGTGTAGCAGGGCATGGAGTCATCCCACAGATGACATCCTTACCTTGTCAGTGTAGCAGGGTGTGGAGTCATCCCACAGATGACATCCTTACCTTGTCAGTGTAGCAGGGCATGGAGTCATCCCACAGATGACATCCTTACCTTGTCAGTGTAGCAGGGTGTGGAGTCATCCCACAGATGACATCCTTACCTTGTCAGTGTAGCAGGGTGTGGAGTCATCCCACAGATGACATCCTTACCTTGTCAGTGTAGCAGGGCATGGAGTCATCCCACAGATGACATCCTTACCTTGTCAGTGTAGCAGGGCATGGAGTCATCCCACAGATGACATCCTTACCTTGTCAGTGTAGCAGGGCATGGAGTCATCCCACAGATGACATCCTTACCTTGTCAGTGTAGCAGGGCGTGGAGTCATCCCACAGATGACATCCTTACCTTGTCAGTGTAGCAGGGCGTGGAGTCATCCCACAGATGACATCCTTACCTTGTCAGTGTAGCAGGGCGTGGAGTCATCCCACAGATGACATCCTTACCTTGTCAGTGTAGCAGGGCGTGGAGTCATCCCACAGATGGCATCCTTACCTTGTCAGTGTAGCAGGGCGTGGAGTCATCCCACAGATGGCATCCTTACCTTGTCAGTGTAGCAGGGCGTGGAGTCATCCCACAGATGGCATCCTTACCTTGTCAGTGTAGCAGGGCGTGGAGTCATCCCACAGATGACATCCTTACCTTGTCAGTGTAGCAGGGCGTGGAGTCATCCCACAGATGACATCCTTACCTTGTCAGTGTAGCAGGGCGTGGAGTCATCCCACAGATGGCATCCTTACCTTGTCAGTGTAGCAGGGTGTGGAGTCATCCCACAGATGGCATCCTTACCTTGTCAGTGTAGCAGGGTGTGGAGTCATCCCACAGATGACATCCTTACCTTGTCAGTGTAGCAGGGCGTGGAGTCATCCCACAGATGACATCCTTACCTTGTCAGTGTAGCAGGGCGTGGAGTCATCCCACAGATGACATCCTTACCTTGTCAGTGTAGCAGGGGGTGGAGTCATCCCACAGATGACATCCTTACCTTGTCAGTGTAGCAGGGTGGAGTCATCCCACAGATGACATCCTTACCTTGTCAGTGTAGCAGGGCATGGAGTCATCCCACAGATGACATCCTTACCTTGTCAGTGTAGCAGGGCGTGGAGTCATCCCACAGATGACATCCTTACCTTGTCAGTGTAGCAGGGCGTGGAGTCATCCCACAGATGACATCCTTACCTTGTCAGTGTAGCAGGGCGTGGAGTCATCCCACAGATGACATCCTTACCTTGTCAGTGTAGCAGGGTGTGGAGTCATCCCACAGATGACATCCTTACCTTGTCAGTGTAGCAGGGTGTGGAGTCATCCCACAGATGACATCCTTACCTTGTCAGTGTAGCAGGGTGTGGAGTCATCCCACAGATGACATCCTTACCTTGTCAGTGTAGCAGGGTGTGGAGTCATCCCACAGATGACATCCTTACCTTGTCAGTGTAGCAGGGCATGGAGTCATCCAACAGATGATATCCTTACCTTGTCAGTGTAGCAGGGTGTGGAGTCATCCCACAGATGACATCCTTACCTTGTCAGTGTAGCAGGGTGTGGAGTCATCCCACAGATGGCATCCTTACCTTGTCAGTGTAGCAGGGCGTGGAGTCATCCCACAGATGGCATCCTTACCTTGTCAGTGTAGCAGGGCGTGGAGTCATCCCACAGATGGCATCCTTACCTTGTCAGTGTAGCAGGGTGTGGAGTCATCCCACAGATGGCATCCTTACCTTGTCAGTGTAGCAGGGCGTGGAGTCATCCCACAGATGGCATCCTTACCTTGTCAGTGTAGCAGGCGTGGAGTCATCCCACAGATGGCATCCTTACAGGGTGTGGAGTCATCCCACAGATGGTCACCTTGTGTAGCAGGGCGTGGAGTCATCCCACAGATGACATCCTTACCTTGTCAGTGTAGCAGGGCGTGGAGTCATCCCACAGATGACATCCTTACCTTGTCAGTGTAGCAGGGTGTGGAGTCATCCCACAGATGACATCCTTACCTTGTCAGTGTAGCAGGGCGTGGAGTCATCCCACAGATGACATCCTTTCCTTGTCAGTTCAGCAGGGCGTGGAGTCATCCCACAGATGACATCCTTAGATGGTCAGTGTAGCAGGGTGTGGAATTAACCTCATTAGTGTAGTGGGCCGAGTTGGGATAGGTAGGTTCAAATCCACAGCACTTGGAAATGTCACGTCGAAGCAATAAGCACATAATTGACCAGGAAGTGAGTTGCAAAATGTACACATCAATAGCTCGATTTCAAATATAATTCTTAATCCCTGAAAGTATAGGAGGATGGGTGACGTAAAGTTTTGCATGCAACAATACCACTTTACCTGATTTCTCAACTGAGTAACAGAACTAAGCAATAACACTCAATTTATTTTGCGATCTTATTTCTACCACGAGATCGTTAGCGGTGACAGAGCGAGCAGAAAGAGCACTTACGTAAGTGGGTAAGGTAGTTTAGTTTTACCCCCACCACGCCTACTACCTCGGAAAGTCCCTATGGTCCCTAGTATGGTGATCTACCTTCAGTTATTGGCAATTTATAGCCCATTTTTATACGGTATTGTTTTCCCCCTATAGTTCAAACGTTTTAGATTTAATTACTAGTTTTACATACATATCTGTGATATTCTAGTTGTTTTACTGTCCTTCGTCGGCAGGTTTTTTATAATATACATATATTTCATTTCAATATCAAATGTTCTCGTCACGATATGGCTGAAATATTGCCGATGTTACGTTAAATATTAACTCACTCACTCAATCAATCCTACCTCGGAATGCAGGCTCTTTGCAATGTACGTTATGATCACCTTTAGGCTGTAGGGTTCGTCTCTTGCGAAAAGCATGGGTTGCTGAAGACCAATTCTAACGCGGATCTTCACAGGTCCTGTTTCTAAGACCTCACGTCAATACTCCAAGCGTTGCGAGAAAATGGCTGAGACACATTGTGACTGTAGATTAGCCGTTTCATGTGGCTCCACTGTAGGAGAACGGTTTTAACTGGCTCTACTGTAGGAGAACTGCTTTAACTAGCTCTACTGTAGGAGAACTGTTTGAACTAGCTCTACTGTAGACAAACTGTTTCAAGTGGCTCTACTTTCGGAGAACTGTTTTAAGTAGCTCTACTGTAGAAGAACTGTTTCCACTAGCTCTACTGTAGGAGAACTCTTATAACTAGCTCTACTGTAGGAGAACTCTTGTAACTAGCTCTACTGTAGGAGAACGCTTGTAACTAGCTCTACTGTAGGAGAACGCTTGTAACTAGCTCTACTGTAGGAGAACTCTTGTAACTAGCTCTACTGTAGGAGAACGCTTGTAACTAGCTCTACTGTAGGAGAACGCTGGTAACTAGCTCTACTGTAGGAGAACTCTGTAACTAGCTCTACTGTAGGAGAACTAATACAACCAGTTACGTTCTAAGTATAACACTCACAGATCCATTTTCACAGACGGATCCAAGGACGATGGCCAAGTTGCCAGCGCTACAGTCATTGGAGCCAAGACTGTCTCCTCTAGGATCCCCGACAACAGTTCCATTTTCACTGCTGAAGCCAAAGCTATCTTCTCAGCTTTGACCTACATTCAACAGCAAATCAGTCCAAAAACTTCATCGTATTTACAGATTCATTATCCTGCCTCCAAGCACTTCTAAATGTGACTTCAAGTCACCCAATCATCCTGGACATATTAGAACTGTACTACGACCTTTCTACTGGCCAATATGACATCATCCTCTGCCTGTTGCCGGGTCACGTCGGCATAGCAGGTAACACTAAGGCCGATGCTGCAGCAAAAGCAGCTCTCAAAAAGCCCCTATCTCCACTGCTAATCCCATACAGTGACTTCAAACCCACTATCAAAAGCTATACTCGGGACCTGATGCAAAAAAGGTGGGACACTCAAGTAGAAAGAAACAAACTCCATGAATTGAAACCAACAATCGGTTATACCTACTTGGGTTGTCAGTCAAGACGTGATGAGGTAATTTTACGACGATGTCGTATTGGCCACAGTCGATTTACACATGACTATCTGCTGAAAACGGATGGGGATGGACCCCCCATGTGTGTCTCTTGCGATGAGGTGTTCACAGTCAAGCATGTTCTGCTTGAATGCGTGGACTTATCGCCTGCAAGGGACTCACATTATGATGCAACAGACCTAAAAGATCTGTTCTCCCGCGTGAGCGCTCATCTCATAGTGAACTACCTGAGGGAAGTTGATCTGTATCATAAATTGTAACTGTGAAATGTAACAACCATAAATTGTAACTATGAAATGTAAGAAACCGCCTGCCTTTAAATTTGATGCTATAACTTTTTCTGCTCTTGAATGACAATGTAATCAATAAATGTCTTTGCAATAAAACTCATTCCGAGTATGTACTTACAATATTTACTAATGCAAACTTGTTCTCGTCACTATATGGCTGGAAAAATGCCGATGTGACGTAAAGCTCAACTCAACACAACTCAACAACACTATTGTAACTAGCTCTACTGTAGGAGAACTCTTGTAACTAGCTCTACTGTAGGAGCACTCTTGTAACTAGCTCTACTGTAGGAGAACTCTTGTAACTAGCTCCACTGTAGGAGAACGCTGGTAACTAGCTCTACTGTAGGAGAACTCTTGTAACTGGCTCTACTGTAGGAGAACTCTTGTAACTAGCTCTACTGTAGGAGAACTCTTGTAACTAGCTCTACTGTAGGAGAACTCTTGAAACTAGCTCTACTGTAGGAGAACTCTTGTAACTAGCTCTACTGTAGGAGAACTCTTGTAACTAGCTCTACTGTAGGAGAACTCTTGTAACTAGCTCTACTGTAGGAGAACTCTTGTAACTAGCTCTACTGTAGGAGAACTCTTGTAACTAGCTCTACTGTAGGAGAACTCTTGTAACTAGCTCTACTGTAGGAGAACTCTTGTAACTTGCTCTACTGTAGGAGAACTCTTGTAACTAGCTCTACTGTAGGAGAATTCTTGAAACTAGCTCTACTGTAGGAGAACGCTTGTAACTAGCTCTACTGTAGGAGAACTCTTGTAACTAGCTCTACTGTAGGAGAACTCTTGTAACTAGCTCTACTGTAGGAGAACTCTTGTAACTAGCTCTACTGTAGGAAAACTCTTGTAACTAGCTCTACTGTAGGAGAACTCTTGAAACTAGCTCTACTGTAGGAGAACGCTTGTAACTAGCTCTACTGTAGGAGAACTCTTGTAACTAGCTCTACTGTAGGAGAACTCTTGTAACTAGCTCTACTGTAGGAGAACTCTTGTAACTAGCTCTACTGTAGGAGAACGCTTGTAACTAGCTCTACTGTAGGAGAACTCTTGTAACTAGCTCTACTGTAGGAGAACCCTTGTAACTAGCTCTACTGTAGGAGAACTCTTGTAACTTGCTCTACTGTAGGAGAACTCTTGTAACTAGCTCTACTGTAGGAGAACTCTTGAAACTAGCTCTACTGTAGGAGAACGCTTGTAACTAGCTCTACTGTAGGAGAACTCTTGTAACTAGCTCTACTGTAGGAGAACTCTTGTAACTAGCTCTACTGTAGGAGAACTCTTGTAACTAGCTCTACTGTAGGAGAACGCTGGTAACTAGCTCTACTATAGGAGAACTCTTGTAACTAGCTCTACTGTAGGAGAACTCTTGTAACTAGCTCCACTGTAGGAGAACGCTTGTAACTAGCTCTACTGTAGGAGAACGCTTGTAACTAGCTCTACTGTTGGAGAACTCTTGTAAGTAGCTCTACTGTAGGAGAACTCTTGTAACTAGCTCTACTGTAGGAGAACTCTTGTAACTAAATCTACTGTAGGCGAACTCTTGTAACTAAATCTACTGTAGGAGAACTCTTGTAACTAGCTCTACTGTAGGAGAACTCTTGTAACTAAATCTACTGTAGGAGAACGCTTGTAACTAGCTCTACTGTTGGAGAACTCTTGTAACTAGCTCTACTGTAGGAGAACGCTGGTAACTAGCTCTACTGCAGGAGAACTCTTGTAACTAGCTCTACTGTAGGAGAACTCTTGTAACTAAATCTACTGTAGGAGAACTCTTGTAACTGGCTCTACTGTAGGAGAACGCTTGTAACTAGCTCTACTGTAGGAGAACTCTTGTAACTAGCTCTACTGTAGGAGAACGCTGGTAACTAGCTCTACTGTAGGAGAACTCTTGTAACTAGCTCTACTGTTGGAGAACTCTTGTAAGTAGCTCTACTGTAGGAGAACTCTTGTAACTAGCTCTACTGTAGGAGAACTCTTGTAACTAAATCTACTGTAGGCGAACTCTTGTAACTAAATCTACTGTAGGAGAACTCTTGTAACTAAATCTACTGTAGGAGAACTCTTGTAACTAGCTCTACTGTAGGAGAACTCTTGTAACTAAATCTACTGTAGGAGAACTCTTGTAACTAGCTCTACTGTTGGAGAACTCTTGTAACTAGCTCTACTGTAGGAGAACGCTGGTAACTAGCTCTACTGTAGGAGAACTCTTGTAACTAGCTCTACTGTAGGAGAACTCTTGTAACTAAATCTACTGTAGGAGAACTCTTGTAACTGGCTCTACTGTAGGAGAACGCTTGTAACTAGCTCTACTGTAGGAGAACTCTTGTAACTAGCTCTACTGTAGGAGAACGCTGATAACTAGCTCTACTGTAGGAGAACTCTTGTAACTAGCTCTACTGTAGGAGAACTCTTGTAACTAGCTCTACTGTAGGAGAACGCTGGTAACTAGCTCTACTGTAGGAGAACTCTTGTAACTAGCTCTACTGTAGGAGAGCGCTGGTAACTAGCTCTACTGTAGGAGAACTCTTGTAACTAGCTCTACTGTATGAGAACTCTTGTAACTAGCTCTACTGTAGGAGAACTCTTGTAACTGGCTCTACTGTAGGAGAACTCTTGTAACTAGCTCTACTGTAGGAGAACGCTTGTAACTGGCTCTACTGTAGGAGAACTCTTGTAACTAGCTCTACTGTAGGAGAACTCTTGTAACTAAATCTACTGTAGGAGAACTCTTGTAACTAGCTCTACTGTAGGAGAACTCTTGTACCTGGCTCTACTGTAGGAGAACTCTTGTAACTTGCTCTACTGTTGGAGAACTCTTGTAACTAGCTCTAGTGTGGGAGAACTCTTGTACCTGGCTCTACTGTAGGAGAACTCTTGTAACTGGCTCTACTGTAGGAGAACTCTTGTACCTGGCTCTACTGTAGGAGAACTCTTGTAACTAGCTCTACTGTAGGAGAACTCTTGTAACTAGCTCTACTGTAGGAGAACTCTTGTAACTAGCTCTACTGTAGGAGAACTCTTGTAACTAAATCTACTGTAGGCGAACTCTTGTAACTAGCTCTACTGTAGGAGAACTCTTGTAACTAGCTCTACTGTAGGAGAACTCTTGTAACTAGCTCTACTTTAGGAGAACTCTTGTAACTAAATCTACTGTAGGAGAACTCTTGTAACTAGCTCTACTGTAGGAGAACGCTTGTAACTGGCTCTACTGTAGGAGAACTCTTGTAACTAGCTCTACTGTAGGAGAACTCTTGTAACTAAATCTACTGTAGGAGAACTCTTGTAACTAAATCTACTGTAGGAGAACTCTTGTAACTAGCTCTACTGTAGGAGAACTCTTGTAACTTGCTCTACTGTTGGAGAACTCTTGTAACTAGCTCTAGTGTGGGAGAACTCTTGTAACTAGCTCTACTGTAGGAGAACTCTTGTACCTGGCTCTACTGTAGGAGAACTCTTGTAACTAGCTCTACTGTAGGAGAACTCTTGTAACTGGCTCTACTGTAGGAGAACTCTTGTAACTGGCTCTACTGTAGGAGAACTCTTGTAACTAGCTCTACTGTAGGAGAACGCTGGTAACTAAATCTACTGTAGGCGAACTATACTGTTGGTAAAGTAGCATAGCATCACTTGACATGATGGCTCTGAAATTTTTAATTACTTACCTTTCTGATTTTCAAATATCTGACCAGAAAAGCTTTGTTGAGATTATGCTAACTATTCATCAAGAGGAAGAAGGTATGTTTTGACCTACACAGTATTGGGGGCATGTACATTAAGGAGTTACATGTATGACGATCAGTTGTCGAAAATGTTTTCATTGAATAACTATGAAACGTTTCATATATTTGTTCTTCTATTTTTGCAGTTCATCTGTGTTTGATGAACCGTGTGACAAGTCTGATGTAGCTCTGGTTGTTGAAGGAAGAAGTCTTCACGTCAACAAAGCGGTGCTTGCTACAGCGTCAGATTTTTTTGACACGATGTTTAATGGAAATTTTAAAGAAAAACAGGAACGTGAAGTCCCTCTCCCAGGAAAAAGGTATACTGACATTGTGGACATGCTTCTGTGTATTTACCCATCAGAACTACGGCCTGTCACCAAGGCAACAGTGGACAAGATGCTGGAACTAGCTGACGAGTACCAGATTAAGAGTCTAAAGCGGAAGTGTGAAGAATTTCTGCTCAGGGTCTGTAAAATGTCAAAAAAGGAAAAAAAAGATGTTACACATGCTTTATATCTGGCTGATAAGTACAGCATGCCTAACGTCCTGAAAGTAACTATACACATTGTCAAACAATATAAGTTTAGAGATGCTGGCTTGTGTGACTTTTGTCTGGAGCAGGAACAAGACTTCCTGAACCTTGGGAATGAAACAAAGCTAAACCTTATGGCAGAAAGGATTGCCTATTTAGAGTAAAATCAATATCTCTAATGGTTTTTTCCTCATTGTAGAATAGATCAGTATATCGATGTATCAGTATGTAATGCTTAACATCGACTCAAAACTGAAAAGATACTCTTCTATCCTGAAAACGAAACCATGCTTCATATCAAGTCCAAGAAAAATGTGGTTTTTTTATGCATCGTCGAATCTTTGTAAAAAAATGACATCTAGAATTTCTAGAACTTATGCACGGGACACGATTTGGATGCATCATGTTCTTTCAGAGCTTGATACTCACACAAATAGAGTTTTAATGCAAACAGTTCACTGCAAGTCAATGTCTCCATGCTGATGGTATGCTTCAGTCAGCAATGACGGTCCACCTCACCATCCACCTCTCCGTCCATCTGCTGGGCCAGATACTGCATGGAAAGTCTTGTTGTGTGTGCCTGTGCGTTGTCCTGTTGAAAAGTATGGACATCTTGGTGGTGATTGAAGACAGATACGATGTGATTGTAATGTGACATCGTCCTCTGCTGGTTGCCGGGTCACGTCGGCATAGCAGGTAACACTAAGGCCGATGCTGCAGCAAAAGCAGCTCTTGACAAGCCCCTATCTCCACTGCTAATCCCGTACAGTGACTTCAAACCCACTATCAAAAGCTATACTCGGGACCTCATGCAAAAAAGGTGGGACACTCAAGTAGCAAGAAACAAACTCCATGAATTGAAGCCAACAATCGGTTATACCTACTTGGGTTGTCAGTCAAGAGGTCATGAGGTAATTTTACGACGATGTCGTATTGTCCACAGTCGATTTACACATGACTGTCTGCTGAAAACGGATGGGGATGGACCCCTCTCTTGCGATGAGGTTTTCACCATCAAGCATATTCTGCTTGAATGCGTGGACTTATCGTCTGCAAGAGACTCACATTATGATGCAACAAACCTAAAAGATCTGTTCTCCCGCGTGAGCGCTAATCTGATAGTGAACTCCCTGAGGGAAGTTGATCTGTATAATAAATTGTAACTATGAAATGTGACTAACAAATTTGCCTGCCTTTAAATTTGATGTTATGACTTTCTCTGCTTTTAAATGACAATGTCATCAATATATGTCTTTGAAATAAAACTCATTCCGAGTATGTACTTACAATGTTTACTAATGCAAACTTGTTCTCGTCACTATATGGCTGGAATAATGCCGATGTGACGTAAAGCCCAACTCAACTCAACTGAAGAATCTGCTCACGGTAATAAAGGGCATTAACTCTCCCTTGACAGACGTGAAGGCAGTCCTGTGATTGTAATTTATTCCACCCCAGACCATGACACTCACACCACCCAAAGGTCTGTCTGAACCAAAACCTTCACAGAACAGGGTATCCACTGGACAGAGGAAGGCACACGCCATGTTTAATTATGCATGTGTGAGTTCATTCTTAGAACCTGTGTTGTCTTGTGACATGGCCATTTTACCAAAACAATTCCCCAGGACTAATGAAGAATAATCTCATTAATCTCATTTGGAATGAATGAATGAATGAATTACACATATGAAACTTCAAACGGTTTCACATGATTTCCTAGCAGACATGTAGACACTTGGTTGCAGTTATGTGCAGCCTTAATAAAATACTAACTGTCACACAGAAGACAGTTTTGATAACAGCCAAGTTCATGAAATACAGGAGATATGGCATAACTTAACTCTTCCGATGTTTACTGCATGCAACATACACTAATATCAAACCATCAGACTATCTCAAGTCATAAATGTAGTCCATCAAGATAACTGTCACCACTTGTCATGTACAGTGATTCCTGGAACTTGGTCCGCATCAAACTCTGTTCATTTGCATTCCGGTTAACTTCATTGCTTTTTGTTTTCATCACATCCATCAGAATAAATGTAATCGATCCCAACACACATGAGGTAATCTGTGGCTGCTCTGAAGTACAAACATATATCAGTGTTATCTTTTGGTTGTATAAAAACAATTTACACAGCATCACAGCTCACTTATGTATGTCATCAATGGTGAAAAATGGCAACAGGGCCAGTTGCCCAACAGTTCTTGCTATTGCTCATTCTACAAAACATAGCTATTTTATCATTTTTTTTTAATCTCATGAAAATACATACATGCAGAAACTATAACCTTTTGGAAGTATTGCATTACAAAACAAATGCCAATTCATGAGGAAAAAAGCACAGAAAGACAGAATGTCATGTAGATTTTCAGAAAATACATGATGGCAAGTTATTGGCATGCATGACATGTCCTGCTGGAACATCAGTGCTACCTTGTTGACTTGAACATTAACCACACACTTATTCGACAACGTGTGAGGAAGCACATTCTGATCCTGGGAATTTGACGATTGATTGCCAGTATAAGGCAAAGACTGGCTGATGATGTCTGTACAAGGGGTGGTTACATTAGGTACTGATGTGGTCACCACTGGTGATGTCTGTACAAGGGGTTGTTACATTAGGTACTGATGTGGTCGCCACTGATGATGTCTGTACAAGGGGTGGTTACATTAGGTACTGATGTGGTCACCATTGGTGATGTCTGTACAAGGGGTTGTTACATTAGGTACTGATGAGGTCACCACTGGTGATGTCTGTACAAGGGGTGGTTACATTAGGTACTGATGAGGTCACCAGTGATGATGTCTGTACAAGGGGTGGTTACATTAGGTACTGATGTGGTCACCATTGATGATGTCTGTACAAGGGGTGGTTACATTAGGTACTGATGTGGTCACCATTGGTGATGTCTGTACAAGGGGTTGTTACATTAGGTCCTGATGTGGTCACCACTGGTGATGTCTGTACAAGGGGTGGTTACATTAGGTACTGATGAGGTCACCACTGATGATGTCTGTACAAGGGGTTGTTACATTAGGTACTGATGTGGTCACCACTGGTGATGTCTGTACAAGGGGTGGTTACATTAGGTACTGATGTGGTCACCACTGATGATGTCTGTACATGGGGTGGTTACATTAGGTACTGATGTGGTCACCACTGGTGATGTCTGTACAAGGGGTGGTTACATTAAGTACTGGTGTGGTCACCACTGATGATGTCTGTACAAGGGGTGGTTACATTAGGTACTGATGTGGTCGCCACTGGTGATGTCTGTACAAGGGGTGGTTACATTAAGTACTGATGTGGTCACCACTGGTGATGTCTGTACAAGGGGTGGTTACATTAGGTACTGATGTGGTCACCATTGATGATGTCTGTACAAGGGGTTGTTACATTAGGTACTGATGTGGTCACCACTGATGATGTCTGTACAAGGGGTGGTTACATTAGGTACTGATGTGGTCGCCACTGGTGATGTCTGTACAAGGGGTGGTTACATTAGGTACTGATGTGGTCACCACTGATGATGTCTGTACAAGGGGTGGTTACATTAGGTACTGATGTGGTCACCACTGGTGATGTCTGTACAAGGGGTGGTTACATTAGGTACTGATGTGGTCGCCACTGGTGATGTCTGTACAAGGGGTTGTTACATTAGGTACTGATGTGGTCACCACTGGTGATGTCTGTACAAGGGGTGGTTACATTAGGTACTGATGTGGTCACCACTGATGATGTCTGTACATGGGGTTGTTACATTAAGTACTGGTGTGGTCACCACTGGTGATGTCTGTACAAGGGGTGGTTACATTAGGTACTGATGTGGTCACCACTGGTGATGTCTGTACAAGGGGTGGTTACATTAGTTGAGTTGAGTTGAGTTGGGCTTTACGTCACATCGGCATTTTTCCAGCCATATAGTGACGGGAACAAGTTTGCATTAGTAAATATTGTAAGTACATACTCGGAATGAGTTTTGTTTCAAAGACATTTATTGATTACATTGTCATTCAAAAGCAGAAAAAGTCATAACATCAAATTTAAAGGCAGGCAGTTTGTTACATTTCATAGTTACAATTTATGGTTGTTACATTTCACAGTTACAATTTATGATACAGATCAACTTCCCTCAGGTAGTTCAGTATCAGATGGGCGCTCACGCGTGAGAACAGATCTTTTAGGTTTGTTGCTTCATAATGTGAGTCCCTTGCAGGCGACAAGTCCACGCATTCAAGCAGAATATGCTTAATGGTGAACACCTCATCGCAAGAGACACACATGGGGGGTCCATCCCCATCCGTTTTCAGCAGATAGTCATGTGTAAATCGACTGTGGCCAATACGACATCGTCGTAAAATTGCCTCATCACGTCTTGACTGACAACCCAAGTAGGTATAACCGATTGTTGGCTTCAGTTCATGGAGTTTGTTTCTTCCTACTTGAGTGTCCCACCTTACATTAGGTACTGATGTGGTCACCACTGATGATGTCTGTACAAGGGGTTGTTACATTAGGTACTGATGTGGTCGCCACTGGTGATGTCTGTACAAGGGGTGGTTACATTAGGTACTGATGTGGTCACCACTGATGATGTCTGTACAAGGGGTTGTTACATTAGGTACTGATGTGGTCACCACTGATGATGTCTGTACAAGGGGTGGTTACATTAGGTACTGATGTGGTCACCACTGGTGATGTCTGTACAAGGGGTGGTTACATTAGGTACTGATGTGGTCACCACTGATGATGCCTGTACAAGGGGTGGTTACATTAGGTACTGATGTGGTCGCCACTGGTGATGTCTGTACAAGGGGTTGTTACATTAGGTACTGATGAGGTCACCACTGATGATGTCTGTACAAGGGGTGGTTACATTAGGTACTGATGTGGTCACCACTGATGATGTCTGTACAAGGGCTGGTTACATTAGGTACTGATGTGGTCACCACTGGTGATGTCTGTACAAGGGGTGGTTACATTAGGTACTGATGTGGTCACCACTGATGATGTCTGTACAAGGGGTGGTTACATTAGGTACTGATGTGGTCACCACTGGTGATGTCTGTACAAGGGGTTGTTACATTAGGTACTGATGTGGTCACCACTGATGATGTCTGTACAAGGGATGGTTACATTAGGTACTGATGTGGTCGCCACTGGTGATGTCTGTACAAGGGGTGGTTACATTAGGTACTGATGTGGTCACCACTGATGATGTCTGTACAAGGGGTGGTTACATTAGGTACTGATGTGGTCGCCACTGGTGATGTCTGTACAAGGGGTGGTTACATTAGGTACTGATGTGGTCGCCACTGGTGGTTCATACCACCACAACAATCATTACGAAAGAACTATGTGACAATCAGATTGGCGGCATAGTCATGGTGACATAAATAATCTCTAAATATGAAAATTATTTGTAGTTTTAAGCATACTCAGGTTAGGGTAACATTCATCAGTTCTGTAATGTTTGTTTCATGCTGTACCTTTCTCTTTCATTCACTCTGCATTATGCATGGATTATTCGTCACATGCCCTTGACCAGAAGTGGGATAATGCTTTCAAAACTTAAAGTTTATGGAATTTCATGATTTCCTTTGAACTGGTGATAGTAAATAGCATT